TTTATATTATTGTACACGCCTGATGATTAATTAATCGAAAACGTTCGTTCGCTATCTTGACTTCTTGAATACTGACTATTTCTCAATACTATTTTAATAATAACAATTTGACGCGTGCGTATACATATGGACATGACGCAACGGCATATAATTAACAGGGTTTTCTACGGCCTTTGCCTATTACTCTCACTAAAGAAACTGAAAATGCTTTTTGTAAAGGATTGAAGGACAAACCGTTCTATTATCGTAATCAAGACGCCGGGCGACGGTGATCTCGCCGGTGACCGAATTGACTGCAAAGTCCAGTATGATGTCTTTCAGCAAGTACACCAGCATGGCGGTGTCGTCGTTGTCTTCGGCCATTATCTGCCCGACCTTGTAGCCAATGGGTGCCGTCTCGGAGACATTAAAAATGTAGGGCGTGTTTATAAAGTACGGTGTGTTATCGTTCACGTCCAGGATGTGAATTGTAAGGGAAGTTTCCGCTAATGTTTAGAAGAAATGTGGAGGTAGAGGAGGGGTTATACTTGAGGACGAGAAAGACAAGCTGCATAAACGATATATTTCCATGACCAGTTGCAGTTAACCCTACTGAACATTTTCAATTTGAACAAAGAAGTCTACCATGTGTCCGATATCGATTAAATGCACAGTCAATAATTAGATGAAATCAGTTTACAGCAAGCATCGTTGGTAGTGCTTTTTTAAAGTAATATTAACCGAAAGATAGCGAATTCGAAAGCAACAAAAATCGTGACCAGCGGGCATTTTTTTAACGCACTTTTTGAAACGACTGGTGCTTAAAGTACAACTTTTAGTAAGAGAAAGAACTGAAGAAAATAGCACCGAGCTTTAAGAAGACTAACTTAAATGAGCCAACAGTGAACTGCTCAGTAAATAAGATCCCACGATTAAAGAAGCCTATCTGTCCCTAATTTTCTAAGAAAAATATAATTTTTGAGGATATCAGTTTTTCATCAGGGGATTGTCTACGAAAATTCTTGCTTAGGCTCCAGAGCAAAGTGGGGCAAAATTAAAGTAGCCTGTTGGTGTGCTGCATCGTCACTCGCGATAGGTAAGTTATTAAATCATTCCTAAGTACAGGGTGTTAGCTTCCGATTCGTCCTGAAATAAATTCCCTCTGCTAACTGTCGGTGATAACTATATCAGAAACAGCTATCCTGATACGCACATTTGCTTTGACTGTTCGATTACTCTGTGCCGCCAAGCACCCAATGGCAGTTCCCGGTCGGAGTTCGTTAAGGAACCGGAGTGAGCATGTTTCGCCATGCAACTGGGCAAGATTGACAAAGGCGGACTCAGGCGAAACAATAGGGTCAGCCTGCTTGAACTTGAAAACTCGCATGAAGCTCTCGAGGCGTGGCATCGACGCGCACTGAAAAGCGTAGACTGAACGTCAAACGTTTATCGCGGCTCTAATTAAGTACAGATTGACAGTCAATGATTTCAGTTAGAATAGGGCAGGCTGACCTGCCAACTTTGGGGGCTTTAGTCCACCACTGAATTTCTGTGTACAAAAAAACAGCTCCTACTGGCCTGACCCCTTCTCGTCCTATCCGGAACTGGGTGTGATAAGGGTAGTACTCTGAGCAAAATCATGGTTTTGACCCCCTACAAGACTAATACATGTCTTGTTCCAGTGGTCGCATATACTTCTGATTAACTGCTTCCTAGAAATTGGCTGTTCGCTTTTATCCGCAGTAATTGGGACATTTGATTACACTTCGATCCGAAGATTTTGTTAGCTAGCGCGGAGAGTTTTTCCCATAATAGTTAGAAGAGACTGCCTTTCTGGTGCTTTATATGCAAAGAAAAAAAACTGCAAAATCTCTACGTCTGCCATTTCGCTTTGGCTGAGATTTTGAGTCAAAAACTGACAAAGCGTACTCACCTGAGTTTGGCTTCCCAGATCCAAACGAAGATGGTGCTCCGTCCTGGGCTAAAATCTGCACAACGTAATTCGTTTTGGTTTCATGATCCAGATCACCCGTATTAGTTCGCAGCACTCCATTTTGGATGGTGAATTTCGGAGAATCGGTCGTTGGTATCAGAGAATAAGTGACCTAGCAGGAGGGAGAGGAAATGCAGGCTCTAGAGTTTCTAATGAGATTACGCTGAACAGGGAAGGACG